GCCTATACAACAGACCCTTCACTATACACAGAGAGCAAATCTTCCTACCCATACTGTAAGGATTCCTCTACATGCTGGCACTCCTCTGTACACCGACTGAAGGTTCTTCTCTATACCCAACCAGCTTCCCTTCCTCCTATCCAGTCAGCAGGCCTTCTCCCACATCTAGACAACTGTCTCACCTCTACACCAAGACATCTTTCCTTACTCTATACTCAGCAAAAAGTGATACACAAGGCTTTTCACCATCTCAGAGAACCTCCGTTGTAACTGCTTTCTTCAGCCCTCATTAATGTTGAGGTACTCTGCAGGGCAACCACTCTCTGACTTAAGTCCGCTGAACCTAAATATTGTCTCAGGAGTTGTGTCTTACCCCCTCTCACCCATCTTGCTCACCATGTGTCACCTTCTGTTCAGGGAGACTCATTAAGAGCCTACATTCTGACACTAGGTTGATCCAGTCTTTACTCGGTATTTGAAATAAGCAAAACATGAAGACAGATTGATTTTGAACAACTTCAAACTCAACTTCAAAATGTAACTCAGTTGGTAGAGTACTGGGCTAGCCTGTACAAGGTTCTGGGCTTTGATCCCCATAGAAACACTTGGAAAGCAGAGGCAGAATGATTAGGAATTCAAGGTCATCCTTGGTAAATAGCAGGTTTGAGACCACCATAGACTAGATGAAAGATGAGTGAATGTGTGTGTGTGTGTGACTGTGTTTGTGTGTGTGTGTGAGAGAGAGAGAGAGAGAGAGAGAGAGAGAGAGAAACGGAGAGTGATTGATTGATTGATTGATTGATTGATTGATTGATTTAATGTCAGGGTAGCCAAGCATGGTAGTTACACCAATAATGTCAACACTTTGGAGGAATAAACATGAGAATTGCCTCAAGTTCAAGGACAACTTGGGCTACACAGCACATACCCAGACAGCCTCTCTCAAAGAAACCAATAGCAAGAGACTAAAATGGCGTGGAGGATACGTACAGTTAAGCAAACTGCCATGCCACCACACAATATGGTGCTGTCTACCTAAAAAAGAGAAAGGGCTCAGGGGAAGAAACATGAGTGGGATGCAGTAGGAAAGGAGGGAAAGTCTGGTGACAAAGGCCAGTACAAGGTCATGCAGGATGTATTCTAATGGGAGGCCCCAGTATCCCAGGCCAGTGCTTCCCAGGTTAGCAGGGCTGAAACCCTGCATGAGAGAGGGTTCCTGTACTTTCCATAGTATGCTGAGGTTGGGCATTAATGCAAAAGGAGGGACTTTCAACTCCAGGGGCCAGAAGAGAGCGAGAATCAGGTCCTTAGGCTACAGGGAAGCTTAGGCTTCTGAGAAGCTAGAAACCAGACTGGCCCCAGCAGAGGCTGTAAGACTCCATGCAATAGGGAAGAGGGTGCCTGAAATGGTCTTCCCCTGTAATCAGATTGTGACCACCTTAATTCTTATCATCATCGAACCTTCATGCAGTAACTGATGGGAGCAGATGCAAAGATCCACAGCTAAGCCCTGGGCTGAGTTCCTGGAGTCCAGTCAAAGAGAGGGAGGAGGGATTATATGAGCAAAGGGGTCAAGATCATGATGGGGAAACACACAGATACAGTTGACCCGAGCTAGTGGTAGCTCATTGACTCTGGACTGACAGCTGGGGAACTTCACTAGACCTTCTGAATGTGGGTGACAGTTCTTTGACTTTGGCAGTCTGTCCAATCCTGGCAATGGAACCACGATTTATCCCTAGTACATGAACTGGCTTTTTGCAGCCCTTCCCTATGGAGGAATACCTTGCTCAACCTTGATCTAGGGGGAGGGGATTGGTCCTGCTTCAATTTGATAAGTCAGACTTTGTTGAGTCCCCACGGGAGTCCTTACCCTTTTTGTGGAATGGATGAGGGCTGGGTGAGGGGCAAGGTTGGGGTAAGTGCGTGAGGAAGGGAGGGTGGGGGAGCTGTGGTTGGTATGTAAAATTAAAAAAATAACTTTTAAACAAACAGTGTCATACTAAGACTGTCATTGACCAGAGAGGAAGAGACATTTCCTATTGCAGAGTCTTGGACAATCACTAGGGTACTCATTCTGGAGAGATGCAGAGCTGCCTCCTCAATGGGAAAAGAAATCCAGGAAAGAGACAACTGGACACAGAGCCTTGGCTACCCAGCTATAGGGAACCTCCAGCTACTCTGGGAGGGTGACCAGTGAGTCCTCCAGATAGGGTGTGATTCCCACAGTGGCAGGACCCGCCCAGTCCCAGGGAACCAAAAACCCTGTCCACACATGCATGAAAGCAAGGGCTTCTGAAAGCAAATAAACAGAAATAAATTAGGTGTGAGACCTCATTTCCCTGAAATTTATTTCCCAGGGGATATTCCTACCACTGACATACTATTTTTAAAGCTGGACTAAGAACCAAAAAAGAGTAGGTTCTGATCTGACCACACAAGTCAGGACTCCTCCCACCCCTCTGTGGCTTCAGGGGCTCTGCTGTCCCTGATCCTGCCCCTGGGGTACAATTGGCTGCCTTCACCAGTAAGCTATTCTGAGTCAGCTTAACAACCCGCAGGCAGGAGTTTACTGTGTCTCAATGTCTTTGCCTACTCTTCTGTGCCTCTGAAGCGTCATCCCACATAGCTTGTTAACAAAATAAAAACCCACAAATGAGCATGCTTTATGTGACAAGTTTAACAAGCAGGAATCTCAGATCCAATTTCGTTTCTGCCAAAATGAGCTGTATCACAATTGGTTTGCTTGTCACTCATTAATACATGATTTAATTGTTTAATTTCAAACATTATGAGCTTTCAGCATGTGTGTTTCTTGATGTTCTAACATTCAGATGAATGTTAGTTGTAAAATACTTCCTTTTTCAGAAGAATCTAAAAGGCAGTGTTACATTATAATTGAACGACCATCCATGTATTAACTTGTTTTGCTTTTAATCTTGCTGTTTATTAATTTAATCATTTATTGACTGTTTGGTGATAACCTTAATGTTGACCATAGATTTTTCTACTGACTCAAGAATTTCCCCTTTCTCTTCTTTCATAATTCCTATTTTTTCTTTATACCACAAATTATTTTTCTGCATATTTTAAGACAGTGACTATGCTTGCCTTAATCTCTATTCCTTTAAATTTTACTATAGGTGTATGTGACTATATCTTATCTGTCTTGTTAGGCTGAGATGCTAGGGTCCTATGGAAGACCAAGGAGACAGTCCCAGTGAGCTCTCTCTTGCTCATCACTGGAAGCATCCCTTCCAGACCCAAGGGCAGGAGTCTGCTAGGAAGAGTTTTCTACTTATTCATATTGTCACACTTGCACACAAACAGCAGAGAATCAGAAATGCTTACACAATAAAAGAGTGTGTGGAGGCTCTACCATTCACTGAACACTCAGTAATTGTAAACTATAGGAAGGTCATGCTTATAAGACAACATACATAGACCATGAAGTAGTAAGAGAAGGTGTATAGACATCTGACTCATTTAACTGCTTAACATTTTACTGGTTGCTTGAGTCACAGCATTATAGCCTCAATTAAAACTAGATGCCTTCTCCTCTAGTCAATGGGAACAGGGTGGAATTTTCTGATTTCCCTTTTCTTTCTTCTTTCTCCATCCCTGCCCCTGTTCCAAATCTGTGTCCGATGTGATTAGGTTCTTGTTGAGACAGTAGTACACAAACATTCACTTACTCTCTATGTAGATGAAATTTTTCTTTTTAGAGAATGAGGTTTAGAAGAGAAGGCTCTACACCCCAGACCCTCGTGTCCAACATAACTGGAGGAATATTGCTTTCCAGGCCAAAGTAGGGATGTTGAGTACATGGGTCAACCATCTTAGCGTTTCTTATTTCCTTATCCACTGGGTTTGCTGTTGCTCATAGACTTCCCAATGAAGGTGAGTTTATACTTCGGGGGCAGGTGGACCATCTCAAGCTTGAGGAACTGAACTATGGATACGTATAAGTTCCAAAAACATCTCTAGGCATCTGCCTACATAATCAGCTTGCCATCCTCAGGAGAGAAGCCTTTCTCCACCACTTCATCTGTTAAGGTTTAAGATAACCCAGAGGATACAGTCCCTGGGAATTGTACAGCAGTAGCACTTAACTGCTGGAGATAAATGCAGCAATGAGTATCATGGAAGATTGAGGGGACATCAGTGACACCCACTAAGGCTCCCCCAGGATTACATAAAGCTCTGCCTCCCTACCCCAGACCTCTGCTTTTTCCACTCTTCTGGGAGCATGTGAACAGATGGCCATGTTGATGCAAGCCTTGGGTTTCAGGTGCCACTGTCCCCACTAGCTGGGGAGATTTGAGCAGATGGGATACCTTCTCTGAGTGTCAGGGCTTTTTTTCTTTTCATTCATGAAATTAGCATAAAGTTCAGAGGACACAAAGGATATAAAAATGTTCCTTAAAGTCATCCTGGAGATGTGTGACTCCAGGAGACTGCCTAGTTCATTCATTTGTTCCTTTATCCCTTCTTTTCTCCCTCCCTCCCTCTATTCTCTAGCATGTATGCATGACACACGTGCATACAAGTCATCGGACAACTAGCAGGAGTCAGTTCTGCCCTTCCACCAAGTAGGTTCCAGGAACTAAATGCAGATCATCAATCTGAGCAGCAAGCGGCATCTCCCCAGCTCAGGCTCAGCTCGGCAACCTCTGAAGTCCTTGAGGCAATCACAAGCTAATGAGGCTTACATGAATCCTAGTGTGGAGCTCACCCACAAGGCCATGGGGAAGGTAGATGGTATCCCAGACTTAGTAGGAAGGGGGGACTTGCTAATTTCCTGAATGCACCAGCCTAAGCCAGGGGGTCAGGAAAGACCCTGTCTCAGGGCAAGAAGAATGGCTTGAATGCAGGCACATGTGGCTAACCCACAGGTATTCTGGACCCTGGAAGAGGTAAAATGTCATCAGTCAAAAAGGACACCCGTTCATATTATCTCCTGAGAGCCTTAGGAGCTTAATGCTTTTCCTTTTTTACAGATGGAGAAATGGAGGCACAGAGAAATTAAGTGACTTGGCCACAGTTACAAGCTGGGGAGGACCAGGGAAATCCTAGAGAGAGCTGGCTCTGGGCCTGTATCCTGCCCACGGAGTCACCCTGCCTCCGTCCTCAGGAGAGAAGGCTTCCTACAAGGTAAGAGGCATCAATCTCCCCAGGATGTGCATCACCCTGCCTCCATGCTGAGTAGGGACTGGTCCTGTGCAGAACTTTGAGTAGCACTCTCTGTTCCAGATCAGATCTGTGATGATTGACATCCTCGCGTATTCAGCCTGGGCCCCTGGCCCTCTATGCTGGCAGCTCTGGGTCTCCATTGTCCTAAGGTGACATGCCCAAGCACCCCAACCTTGACGGGCCCCAGTAACTCTGTGTCATCCTTGCTGCCACTCTGCTTTCGTCTTTAAAGCCCTCACTCTGGTCTTCACCTTCTCCTTCATGTCTAACTGTTCTTCCTTTCGGATAGAGAGTGCCAAAGTCCTGGAAGTTAGACAGGGACGGGGGGACACTCTCACCACCCTTCAGGAATTCTCTTGTGTGCACCTGTTGCAGCCTCGCTAACCCTCTCACAGTTAGCACACTTCAGGGCCTTTGAATACAAAGGCAACTTTTGTCTCCTGGGTCTTCACTAGGTCTAACCCTCACATTCAGGCAGGGAGGGGGGAGGGCGTGAACCTGATCTTCACTTACCACTTCTGTCTGGGAACTCTGTTCTTCAACCCCACACAAGGCAATCCCACAGTGTCCCACTAACACATGCGGTCATCAGTCCACCCCCACAGAATCTTGCTGTCACATTGAGTGTCCAGTTTTTTTTTCTCATACAATTTCTGCAAGGTAAGTTGAGTAATTTTACATTAACTGGTACTGTGAACCGGAAGCACATTTATCTCTCCTCATTTCTCTGTAGCCTCTCAAAAATTATGCCCTTATGTTGCATGAATATCAGCTCTAGATCCTAAAGAGCAATGTGCTTGCACCACATTAAATTCTCTAGATAAGGATGTGGTCATACATTGGAAAGTCACTTTAGGCAGTCATAGCACTCTTCCTTAACACTTTGCAGGAATGGCCAGAGTACGCGGTCACTCATACTTGTTGACCCTCACAGATGGGTTTTTATGATTCAAATTTATGTGAGCCTGAGCTGAATATGGGCACATGTTCTGTTGTGGAGCTGTAGACGTGGTGCGTCTGTTACCTAGGAGACGGTGACTCTCAGAGCAGGCGCTGGTGGAGCACACCAACCCACACACACACAGTTGTGTCCTCACACCTCTTCTCTCTGGTTTCTGCTCCTTCCTCATCATGTTTGGCCTGTGCCCCTCCTCCAACCTTCCCTCTTGGTGTGAGGAACCATCAGTGAAACAGATTTGAATAGTAAGAACTGAGGACAGGTCAGCTAGTTGGTACAATGGGTAACTGCTTTCTTAATAATGAAAGGAGGGTGATAAGGCAGGGCTAAGAACCAGCTCAAGTTCTGGGGTCTAGTTCAAAGTCACCCATATCCAACTTGCAGTTTAGGACCTCCTCTGGTCCCTGTCCTACAAGGAAGACCATAGAGGAAAAAGAAGGTCCACAGTGTGGGGATATAACTTGGCCTCCACAATCTTTAGTACCCAAAATGTAGCTCCTTCCTGTCCCATAGGTGTGACCTGCCAGTACCTAGCACAGACAGCAGCCTCCAAGGGCTCCCACAGACTCCACAGACACCTTGAGAATATAATACATCTAAAATAGTACATTCTTTTCACTAGGGCTAAACCTGAGGAAAGTGTTTTTTATTGGGAGAAATAAGATCAAAGCAATAAGGTAAATCCTGATTCCAAATGCAAAGTTTGAAAGCAATGAAACAATTCACATGCTCTCTCCTCAACACATCATTCCTGATAGCTCCAGTTGGCACAAAACCAATTTCTTAAATTCAAGACTTACTTTTCTTTAAGTATAAAACCACTTAAAGTTCTTCAGAAACATCTATCATCAGTTTGAAAATAAATATACTTAAGGGGAAGAAAAGGATGGATGCTAATTTAGTCCTTTTAGTGTGGGTTTCCTAGTGCAAATTGCTGAAGGGGACTTCAGAGACCCAGGCAAGGAGTGCAGTTAGCATCTCCAGTGGCAAGGAGGGCAGAGCTGGGTTTGTGGAACCATCATGGAGTTGACCTTGGTCCAGCTGAAGAAGCTCCTGCAACTCTTTATCTAAGAGCCCCTGACTCACAACAGCTCCAGATTCTGGTTGCCACTGTTGGTGTCCAGAAGAGAGGGGTTACCAGAAGAAAACCAGCCATCTTTCTAAGATTGTGAGGTGTGAAGGGCATGGAACTCCTGAAAGGAGTGTGCAGGGACCCTTCAGGAGTGCCTGCCCTGTGACCACACGCTATTAGGTATGAGCGACATTAGAAAATGTCATTGCACAGTATATGTGTTATGCTGAAAGCGGCTCGCACTGTTGGTACTTGCTGAACATCTGTAAGGGTAGAATGCAAACAAATTTGAAATGTTTCACCCTGTGATTTCCTCCACTGAAAGGAAACAGAGACTCAGCATTTATTTAGTGTCTTCTGTATGTAGAATGCTGGGTTAGACATTTTAAAATATATTTATCACTTAATCACCAGTGAAAGAAACATTGTTTGGTAGAAAATAAAACACATCCCAATGGAGTTAGTGCTGAATAAACCAGCAGGACCAGAGGGGAAGAGAGGAAAAGTAGAGCCTGTGACAGGGACTTAGCACAGAGCAGGAGAGGCCCTTCTGTGTGGCTGGAGTCCTGTGATTATGTAACAAGCAATGAGTGGGATGATGGCTGTCCATTTCCAAAGGCAGAATTGACCTGCATGTGCAAAACAAATAAAAATACAAAAAAGGGCCAGGCATGGTGACACATGCTTTTAATCTGGTCTACAAAGTGAGTTCCAGTCCCGCCGGGGCTGACATGACCTTGTCTAATGAAGGAGGAGGAGGAGGAGGAGGAGGAGGAGGAGGAGGAGGAGGAGGAGGAGGAGGAGGAGGAGGAGGAGGAGGAGAAGGAAGAGGAAGAAGAAGAAGAAGAAGAAGAAGAAGAAGAAGAAGAAGAAGAAGAAGAAGAAGAAGAAGAAGAAGAAGAAGAAGAAGAAGAAGAAGAAGAAGAAGAAAACACTATGAATTTAAATGCAAAAACATAAAGTAGTTTCTTATTTGGCTACCTGAGCCTTTAGCTGAGGGGCCAGTGTTCCTATCCTACACCCATGGAGAAGAACAGGATCTGCCATAGCTTGGACTAGACATTCCTCCATGAACTTCAGCCAGGAGCATCATAAAAGCGGGTTTACTCACCAGATTCTGAGTAAATGTGACAGACAAAGTGACAGCTGTTCCCTACTGAAATCAGGTACAAACATCGTTGACGGCAGCCCTTAGTGAGCACACAGTACGGCCTAGGTTGTTTTTGTTGTTTATTTTTTCCATGCTCTGTTTCCTGTGCCTGGAATATCTTTCTCCCATCCCATTTTAACCTGAAGCATCTGACTGACTTCAGTGCTCAGCTCAAACATCAGCCCTTCGACCCTTCTCCACAAACATTTTTTACTATCCTTGGGTAAGAGTACTGTTCAGCTAAATTTACCCTCGCACTTTTAATTCAATTTTAAGTTCCTTAAAGAATGGTATTTTAAATGTCCCCTTCCCCCTGGGTAAATTTGCAGGGTTCTCAGAAGATACACTGTTTCTACAGAATAGGAGCTGTCCCTTCTCTACAGGCTTTGCTCTCCTGCTTCATTGGTCCTGTACAGCTTTGCTAAAAGTTTGCTTTATTTAGAAAAAAACTCACGTTGAATAGCAATTTCAGAGCCTCTAAGTGTCCATCCCTTTGGGTGCTGTTTAAGCTACGGCCCCACACTAAGAAAGCATTCAGAGGGTCCATGCTTAGGCAATAGGATCCAGCGGGACTGAGGCCATGGTAGTATGAGATGCAAAAGATGTCCAAGAAACTCCTGTACCATATGAAAACCCCCAACAGTCTCTTAGGTACCTTTATTCCATCCATGTCTTCTCCCCTAGATAGTCATGTTCTAGGAGTAGGGGACCAACCCACAGAGTTAGTTGGGCAGCATCCTAGCCAGCCTGTCTAGGTAACCTCATGAATCCTCTTAGCCCAATCTCCTTCCTCCATCTTCTCAGACTGCAGCTAAGCCACTCCTTCTTCTGTAACATTTCTATGATTAACCCCACACATGCTACCATGACCTCTGTACATGTGCCCACTGTCCCCCTTCTGATCACTACTGGCCTCACAGTGTTCCCTTTAAGTGCCATTTTTCCTCTTTGATCCATGAGATATTCCTTTCAGTATACTTCCTGTGCTCTGGTACCTCTGGCCTGCAGCTTCTCAGAAAATGGCTCCATCCATCCATAATTCCATCCATCCATCCATCTATTCATCCATACATCCATACATCCATCCAATTATCCACTAACCTACCCACCTATCCATCCATCCATCCACCCACCTATCTGTCCATCAATTAACAGGGCTTCAAATATCTTTGTTCAGGGATAAGTTGCAGTCTCGTTCTATACATGGACATATGATTCTCTAGTACCCTAACTTAGGCATGTACTTCCCATGGGCTCTTCTTTTTCTGAAACTATCCTTTATATACTAAATCAGCGGCAGCATTGTATCTGAAGCAGACAGGTCCCATGAATAGATATTAAATTCATGGAATGAGCTTATGTTTCTTATTATATGAAGTGCCCTGTCACCACATTGTATCCATGGAGAGTAAGCACAGACACTCCAAGATAGATCAGATGGCAAGTCTACCCACTAAGGTATGCCTCTAGCGGGCCATGGGCATCTGTTGGGTCTCTATCCAAGAAATAAGTGGTTTTGATACATGGTACATTGGACAAGGCACAGAATATATCATATTGTCCCCCATCTTATGCCGAGGAATGCACCCTGTCCATACCAGACATTGCAAAGAAATCACACGTGGAGTTCACAAATGATCATCAAGGAATCCGAGAGAAGTTTTTACTGTTTGTGTCTTATCACCACTGGTCCCTTATTAGACTCTATGTTATATTGACTAGAGTTACATATACACCTGTTGAATGAATTTATATTCATATCTAATAAATTAATACATTGTGGAAATAACTGGTGAGAAGATATTAGTAAATATTCACCTTATGGTTGTTCGTCCCTATGGTTTAAAGAGGACATTTACAGCATATTTGGCTTTCCCCTCCATGAGTTCAGAACTGTGGGGTTTTTCCTAGATGAAAGAAACAAAGTATTTCCTTAAAAGATTGATACAAGGTTCTAGTGAAGTAGAACTTGGACACTTAACATGACAAGGGATTTATCTGAGAGCAGAGAGGCTAGCAGAATGTCACTAGGGCTTCCTTTTCATGGCAAATATCATGTACATAGTGTGTCCTCTGCCACAGACAAAGATCTGTGTACCTAAAAAGAACCTGGATGATTTAGATTGAACAACATGGAAAGGAAGCCTCCAATGGTATGAATGACATTCTGCTCATCTCTTTCCTCTAAAGTCTTTGTCATATTAGCCTAGCCGGTTACAAGGAAAATCTAGATACTAATTGCCTTCTTGTAAAGGTAATGTGTTTATTATTTCTTGGTACAAAATACAATACAGACAACCAAAGGTGTCCTAATTAAATCTTCAAGAGGAGAGCTGGATCCCTGGAAAGCCATCCAAGTCTGTGACTGGACAGTGCAGAGGCTTGGTGATTACTAGATCAGGTTCACTTATCATTCTAAACAAACACACTGGAGACTGTTCAGCCCTTGCTTACCCATGCTGCCCTGTGGAGACCTTCCTTTATAGAGCTACATAGGATTAAGGACCTATGACTAGAGTACCAGGGATAATCAGAAGTGTTAGATACAGCTGGTCTGCATTCACAGGACAAGGGCACTGACCACCTGAAAAACTCTATTCCCAGATGGACGTGGACGCTGAGGAGAAGCGCCATCGCACACGGTCCAAAGGGGTTCGCGGTAAGTGCACTTTCCCATGTCTCTGAGACTGGCTGGGGACCTTCATCCCGAAGAACTTCTATGGCAGTTAGCTCTGACCCCCCCGCCCCAGCACCACCGCCCTTTTGGTAATTTTCCCGTGGGAGAAGAATACCTGTGACACACGATAAATTTTTATGTTTTCCATCTTTCCGCAGTTCCTGTGGAGCCAGCCATACAAGAGCTGTTCAGGTTAGTGCTTTGTGGGGGAGAGGTGTTCCCAGCAGCAGTTTAGAAAACCCGTGCCTCTGAATGGGTGTGCTGTACTCCTGAACTCAATGGTAACTTGCTCATAGTCTGCTACAGTGAAGAAATTAATTCTCCTGAAACTGCAGATAAAAAGCATCCCTGTGTCTTCTCTCCTGGTCAGTGCTCTTCCCCTTTTCCTCCTCTGCCTGTCCCTCCCTCCCTTCCTTCTCCCTCACTGCTTCCTCAACTCCCTCCTTCCCTCTACTCCTCCCCCTCCCTCCCACTCTCTCTCTCCCTCCTCCTCCATCCCTCCCTTCTTCCCTCCGCCCCCCCCCTCGCTCTGAGAGGCCTGCTGCCATCAGTGCCCACGGAAGCCCATGCAGCTATGTAATCAGCTCTTTCCTGTTGCAGCTGTCCCACTCCAGGCTGCGATGGCAGTGGTCACGTCAGTGGCAAATATGCACGACACAGAAGGTAATGCCTGCCTTTTTCCCAGTGTGCTGTCTAAGATGGCTTGTTTAGGGACCCGGTGCTAGTGAGGACATGTGGGTAGGTGTTTGGGAATATAACGCATGCTCCCTTGCCTTCGTTTCTCTCGCTTCTCCATGAGCCCCACGCGCCACACAGTTCTCCAAGCAAAAGCTGTTCCGCATCACAGTGTTGGCAATAGTGCGCACATTGGCACGGATTATGATAAGTCCATGCTCAGCATGCAGAGGGCTTGGGGCTTCCCGTGACCCACAAGGAAGGCTGAGTCCTTCCCCTCTCACCTTGCTTCTTCTTCTACTAGCTGAGGACAGTGAACCTCAGGAGACAGACTAACGCAAGCCTTTTTATAAAGAAACTTTGGTCCCATCATCTAAGAGATCTTGCTCTGGGATGCAGACTGGGGTGATACCCAGACAATTGCAGGGAATGCTCACATGGGATGAGAGTTAGGATAGATCACATCCATAGTCCTAAAGTCAGGTGGTCTTGTTACTCTCACAAATACTAGCTCTCACATCCCTAATGGTGAGGGGTGTAGAGAACATCTGGAAGGAAGATAGTTTAAAAAATGCACTAGGACGAGAGCACTTTACACACACCTGTGGCCCGCTGTCATACCTATGGTTGCCTTCACATCTGCTCTGACAGGGAAACACAGATGGGTCTTGCTGTATGAAGGTCCAAGACATGATAGGTGAGAAGTGCTTGCAAGTTGTGATAGTACTGTTCTCACTCATTTTTCCGCAAGTCAATTTGTGAGGACTAAAGTCATCTTGTTCTACAAGCCATCTATTGGCCCGACTGGCATTTGAGTCGGTTGTTGCCAGAGATGCTCAGGGTGGCCTCTCCTTTGTCCTCATCCTCTATTTCCTCTGCAGTGAAACAGTAACTTGTGGGTAAAATCAAGCTATTATTTTGATTGTGACTTTGGGAAATTCATGAATTATTCCCCAGATCTCCATGATAGACCAGGACACAGTGGATTGCTCAATGAGCAACCATCATGAGATGGCTGTCTGGTTTCCCCATGATATACCAAAGGAGGCACAGGCCACTTTTCTCTAGGAATTTTTAAATTACTAAGTTTAACATGTTACATCACTATCCATACCATATAAAGTTGTAAATTGCTGAATCAGGTAATGAGACTGGTAACTAAAATATAAATTTTGGTCTGTGGAGAACTACACGTGTAAGGTCTTAGTCTGTATGCTTAGAGACAACATTGTGTGCTCAACAGAGAAATAGTTGGCAAACTGCAGGCAGCATCTATTTTCTCCTAATCATCTCTTCATTAGCTGATAGTTAGGCTTTATCACAGCTATGAAAATAGATTATTAAATTTGGTTAACAAATTTTAACTGGGATTGTGCTGGGTATCATTTCTTAGCCACAATTTTGCAAAGAAAACAAGGAAAAGAAATAACTGTCTAAGAATAATTACAAACATTCGTTTAGTTTTTATTCTGCACTATATTCTGTATAAATACTTGCTGTACTATATGGGGTTGTGTTGTGGAATTTCAAGGTATGTTCACAGTGAGCACTGATCAAGTCAGAGAGATGGCTACTCTCTTCTCCTACTGTCTCTGTCAGATTCCTTACTAAGATGAATTCCTGGAAGGTGTGGATTGATGTGGCCGTGAATGACGTATATTCGCTTCTTTTGTGGATAGTTGCTCTGCTTACACATGGTTTCTGAGAGCGATCTGAAGGCAGTTTGGCCTCATATTCCATTTCAGGGTTGACCCTGGCATGAAGCACTCAGGTGAACTCTGAGGATAGACACAGAACCATGCCAGCTAGAAAAGTTTCCCACAAGCCTGTTCACATAAAAATGATGGTAACATTTTATTCCTACTCATTCCCTCTGTTCAAATTGAAATGTTCGCCAGAAAGGAAATGAGCAGTGTGGTATGGGCAGAAACCAATGGTTCCAGTCTGGAGACCTGGATTCCAGTTTCCCCTGTGCCACTGAAGACCTGAGGCCACGGGGCAGGAGTGATTGGTTGGCTGTGACTTCCAGAGTCCTCAGGACACTGGTGAAAACTGCCAAGCAAAGCCAAGAGATAATACATGTTAACATCTTGGGGTTGCCAGTATGTCAGGCTTAGAAGACTTTCTTTGTGTCTAGCTTTGAGTTTTCTGGCTTTAAAGTAACTGCTGGCTATAGTATTTCCCTCTCCTGAGACGTGCCCACTCTCACTGTACCCACACACAGTCCACTGTGGCCGTTGTGATGCCTATAAGGGATGTCTAATGTGACTTAGACATGGGGCTTGTCTTATGCGTAGACAGACATGGGAGCCATGGCCTGCCATGGATGAAATTATCTGCCCCTTTCATCCTTTTAGTCACGTATTTCTTGTCAAATGCCTTCTTCTTAAGGCTGCAATTTCACTTAGCTTCTATGTCCCCTCAGTCCATGGTGTTATTTTAATATGGTGAAGTGTCTCTTTGAGCATACACAAAATTACTAGAGGCAGATGTGGGCAGTCCATGTTGTAAAGAAAAAAAGAATAAGTATGTGTGGGGGGGGGAGCCCAAGGTAAAATGGTGCCTATTAATTATATAGTCCTTTAATTAAGGACTTTAATTAAGAAAATCAATACTTTCTTACCTTTTTAGTTTGCTGACTCTGTGTTTTTTAGACACAAAGGGTGTGGCTCTGCGTTTGGTCAGTCTCCTTGTGGATGATGACTCTGCCACAGCAGATGGGAATGTTGGGTGTTCTGCGGTAATGGAAACAGAGGCACGGATTTCAGAGAAATAGGGAATACAGGAGAACCAACCACTAGCTAAAAACCTAGGAAAGATGACAGTAGGTTGAGAATATTTTACAATTTAAGATTTGGATATTAGGGTCGGAGTAGGTTATAACATGCATTTGGGGATGTTTTGCATCAATTCCCATACTGTGTCTTAACAAAAGACAAACTGCTTCTAGGTGTTTATTTGTTTGTGTTAATAGCTCACAATAATTCATGGTCCCTGGAAAACCTACATCCAGCTGCACAATTAAATGGCAAATTGAAAGTTAAGCTAGTACAACTTATAAAGGAAATAGAAGCATAGAAGTGCAGGAGTGTATCGAGGTTCATACAGTACTAAGTTCAGTATGAGTATCCGGGCAGCCAGGGCAACAATGTGAAAGATGAGAGAGAGAGACTCCCAGGAGTCTGCCAAAGCGTGGCATCAGTCCCTCTGAGCAACACCCTCTTGGCACCAAGCACTACGCTATCTCAATGGATTACTGGCAGCAGGATCCAAGCTCAGCTGACGTTTTGGTGCCCTCATCAGCTAACCTGGGCTTGACTTCTCAGAACACTAACAGATAGGGCACACAGTGACCTTCAGGACTGTCAATAGTCTGTGGACACAAGTCTGCCCTTTGTCCCATACGTGGTTTCGTGTCACTATCTGTGAACACGTCGAAGCCATGCATGCAAGGATGGGGCCTGATAAAGTGTACCCTGAGGATTGGAGGCAGTTCTTACATTCTGGACCTTCCGGTCTCTTCTGTACACAGTGAAGGAGGCCTCCTTTTGTCACCTACACTGTCACACGGTGTATGGCTCTTTGTGTGCAGCTGCCCTGCTCCTCTACTATGCTGGGACTTCTTACCTTGTGCTAAGAGGATGTCAGAGATGCCTGAAAACCCCAAATAATACAGTCTAATTGGAGCTTCCCTTCTCATTCTTTCTGAGTTTCCGAAGGGTTGTCTTAGGTCCCAAAGCCTGGCTGCCACTGCACTGTCTACCCCATAGCCCAAGCTGGCATGTAGGTACCTGTGGACATTCAAAGTGCCAAAGACGAGCGCTCTCTTGCATGCTAGCGGTTACGTTTTGGTGGGAGAAATGGAACATCTGTAAGTCACAGGCATGACGTTCCTCAGGCTGCTATACGGCTTCCTCCTGGCCTTACAAAGTAGATGAGGACCACCCAAGGTTTAGCAACTCAGCGAGTGGCTCGCTATGAGCAACCCTGAAAGTGTAGAAGGCCCTGCGTAGGCTTCGGAAGACCCCAGCAGAGGATAGGCACAGAGTGGGACCTGGTCCTGTGCGTTGCTGGTGCCCTCCCCTGAACGGAAGGCTGATTCTCTGTGGTTGGGTTGCTGACGAGTGAAAGAAACCCCTGCCTGTCTGGGTTGTGTGTGGGCGGGTGAGTGTGAGTTGTGTGGCTGTGGGTGTGAGTGGGTGTGAGCATGGTTGTGAGTGTGGGTATGAGCCTGGGTTGTGTGAGTGTGGGAGGGTGATGGGAGTTGTGTGGCTGTGGGTGTGAGTGGGTGTGAGCATGGTTGTGAGTGTGAGTATGAGCCTGGGTTGTGTGAGTGTGGCCCATCAAAGGCTTTGCCAGTCATCCGGAGTGTTTTATGAACTGACGCTCTGAGACACGAGCTATAAAGCCAGATGTCAAAAAATTTCCACAGAAATGTATTTCTCATCCTCAAAATATGGGTTACTTTATTTCCATTAATATCTTATTAATTTTTCCAACAAAAAATGAAATAATAATGACATTGTTTTAGTATTTACTAAGAGTGATACTAAATACTGTGTAAGAATTGGAATTTTAACTTCGCTCACAAAAGTTGTTAGGTGTATATGTGTGAAATGAATTGCGTTTGCTTGTCTATAAGTGATTTCTGTAAAAGCCGCTATGCACCCAAGGGAGCGAAGTAAGGGGCACATAGCGTAGACACGCCCACTACCTGTGTGTTTCATGAGGCCTTCTGGACTGATTTGACAGTCAAGCGATTTCATTTACACTGAGCTCTTTACTGAGATTTTTTAAATTACTTATTAGTTAAGCATGGGTTCCTGCTTAACTAACACGTTAAGCATAACTTAGCCTTGCAGTCTCTGAGCACTTTACAAGCACCCTGAAGTTAGCAGACGAGAACAGCTATATTTCAGCCCTCTCCAATCTCTCCAATTTAGAAAACACTAAGCTAAATCTTTCAGTTCACATTTTTAAATTTACAA